TATATTGCTGGAATTTGTTGACATTCTTTTGCTTCTAGAAATGAGAGTGCTTGAATACATTAGTAGGGTGGTTACAGTTTTTGTTGATGCGCACGTGTGTGTGTGTATATATATATATATATATTAATGCACTATCCTTATCTTCAATATTGAGCACTATCACAAAGCCCACTTGCTTTAAATGCCTATATCAAAAACCTGAAAAACCAGCAACTTTGGCTTCAAAAACAGTCTTCCAAATTACCACTATATATATATATATATATATATATATATTATATATATATATATATAGTGGGAGGAAACAAATATCCATACACATACAAATTTTTAATTTACTGCGTTTCCAACTAATGAATAAACATCCTTTTCATATAATTAACTATACACAGATGCAGAATATAGAAAAAAAATTGATTTAATAGAAATAAATCCCATTTATATATTTTAATGGGTGAAAAAAGTATTCATGCAATGCAAATTTCAGATTTTAAACCTTTTAAAATTGCTTTAATACTCTAGTGGAATATTCTAGTATATTCCAATAATGTTATTAGCTATTGTTAGCCTAAAAATTACAGACAGAACATTCTGTAATTGATATTTGTGCAAGAAGGTTATCATCATGACAAGAGATAAAGAATTGACAAATTCGCAAAAAAAGCAATTGTTAAGCTCTGGAAAGAAGGTAAAAGTTAAATATACCATTTACTACCATTAGTTCATTCATTGTAAGGTATAAAACAGTCAAAACTGTTGAAAACCAAAAAAGGAACAGATGCTCCACAGGAGATTTCTTTAAGATCTTTGAGGAAATTAATGTGTCACATTAAACAAAATCCAATGGTTACTCATCAAGAGCTGCAGGATGATTTGCTTTCATCAGGAATCTGTGTCACTAAATGGACAATAAGCAATGAAATTCATAGGAACAATCTAAAGTCACGCTCCCCTGGGAAAACTTCACTGCTATTAAAAAGACAGAGAGATGCCAGGTTGAAATTTATTGGTGAACATAAGGATAAGGAAAAATCGTATTGGGAGAGTATTTTGGACAGGCAAAACCAAAATTGAGTTGTTTGGATGTAATTCAAGAAATCATGTATGGAGAAAAGATGACGATGCCTTCAAACAAAAGGTGGTGGCAGCATCATGGTTTTGGAATGTTTTTACTGCAAAAAGTACTGGCAACATATCAGTAATACATGATCGCATGAAAGCTGCAGCATATCAAAATATTTTGGAAGCAAATTTAATGATTTCAGTTGAAAATCTTGAACTTCCTCCTGATTGGATCTTCCAACAAGATAATGATCCTAAGCACACTAAAAATCTATGAAGAAATGGCTTGCTGAAAAATAATCTAAATATCCTGAAATGGCTAAGTCAGTCCCCAGATTTAAACCCAATGGAGAATCTGGCATTATTTAAAAATTCAAACAATTGAGAGCTCCAACAAACATCCCGGATCAAAGACCATATAGAAGAAGAATGGAACAAAATAAAAACTAAAAATTAATTGAGAACTACAAGAGGGTTGCTGTAAAAGTGAATCATGACTATTCTACGAAGTATTAAATGAAGATTATGTATTCTTTTTTGTATTGTATGAATACCTTTTTTATCCATTAAAATGGATGAATGGTATTTATTTCTATTGAATCTATGCATATTTAGTTATGCATGCGTACAGTTAATGCTATGAAAAGTGTGTTTATTCATTAGTTAGAAATACAATAATTTAAAAATTTGTATGTGTACAAATATTTGTTCCCCCCCCCACAATGTATATTTATATTTTTTTGAATATATATATTTATATATTTATATTGAAAAATAAGGTTGAAAAAATTCTTTAAGTATTCTTTTTAAAATTTGAACCATTTTCTGATTTCAGGAATGAATTTGAACAAATTGTTCAAGGACATTTGAGCACATTCAGGTTTGTCAACCATCAAAGAATTTTGTGCACAGCGATAGGGTTGTGCCTATGTGTATTCATTTTGTTTCCTTTGGTACAAAATGTTATAACATTTAAATATATATCAAATAGAAATAATATAACAGTTTATATAAAGTCAAATGCACTCAAAAAACATTGGACAATTTATATTCAAATTCTTTCCAAAAACCAGTAAAATAATCAGACTTTTCACTTTCCTTGATCTTCAAGCAAACCTGCATAAAAATGGTTTATAATTATTTTGTGGTAAAAAAATAAAAATAATCAAAAAGTAGAAACAAATTGAAGAACTAAAATTTGTTTATTTAAGATTCATTATCTAGGTCATCAACAGTGGGTTAAGAGGTCTTACCTTACAAAAAAAATATTTATGGATGGGGGATTTGAAAATAAAACAAAAACTTTATATCAAATAAATTTAGAATATTTGGGCTTTATGGTTTTATAACATTTGAGTGGATATTAAACAAAAAAACCACGGTCAGTATTTGATGGCAACAATTAAATGTTGAGAGAGGATTGTTACATCCTGTTTGCAATTAAATCTTTTTAAAAATCCTCAACAGAATAAGAAAAACTTTTTAAACAAAAATGTAAACATGGGTCTTTTTCAGAGGATGTGTTTGAAGAAACAAAATACAACAATTAAATTCTTTGAAAATTTTGATATTAACATTGAATTTTTTTATGTTTTTGATGCAAGAGACATTTTTTCCCTTGCAAGAAATTAAAAGAATGAACTCATTAGCAATGGACTTTAAAAAATTTTTCAGGATTTTAAAAAAAAAGGTAATTTCAAAATATTTTTTAGAATACTTATAAAAAGAAAAAATTACTCAAATCAGTTTTCTAAAAAATAAAAAAAAAAAAAAAAAAATTTTAACTGAAAACCAATTCTAAATAAATGGAAACTCAAAAGATTTCTAGAATATTAATTTCAAATCATTATTTATAAATTAAGATGAATCAAAACATATTGACAAATATGGATAAATATGAAATGATGTAAGAAATTTTTTTTGTTTTCCTTGTGAAATCTTACAATATAAATTTGCTAGAAAATTGAATGAAATCATATTCTGCAAAAAAATATTTTTATTTTATATTTAGAACTTAATTAAAAAACAATCAATTACTCAGTTATCAATTATAGTCCATACTATGTTTCAATGATTTCTTTGAACTAATTAAAAACAAATATATAGTAAAATTATTAAAGCAAGAAAAGTATTAAATTTATTTAGTGACTGTTTGACCCCAGATTTTGAAACAGAATATTTTTTCAATATGTTTGTGTCTTGGTTTGATGAAGGTGACACACTAACACCTTTTCATCATTTTAAAAGATTTAATATATGCGTATATCAGTGGACAAATAAAAAAAAATGGTTTGATGTATCAGCCTAGAATAAATCATAATCATCCTCCCAGAATTTACAAAAAAAAAAAATTTTGCCCAAATGACATTGTTTTACATTTCTTCTGACAACCTCATTAGTAAATTCTAAAGCACATTTTTTTTTAAAAAATGAATGAAGTGTTTTAACTTGCAGGTCTTCACCTAAATGAAGGGATGTTTTTTGGTGATAAAAATTAAAATTAACATTTGGGTAAAATCATGAGATCAAAACACTCTAAAACAAATTTGTTCATAGTAAAGACTACAATATTTAGGAACTACACATCAAGAAAATGAAAAGATTTCAAAATTAGTAAAGGCATTAGCATGGATTGCATGAGTAACATTGAAAATATCCATAAGGAAACCAGAAATTTTGTTTAGGTCAAAATCCAACATAATGAAAAGGAATTTATTAGCCAATTTTTTTTTGGCTCTGAAATTTGACTTAGGTCAGCAAAACAACACAAAGTTGGATGGATGTTATACAAATGATTTTATATATTTTATATTATTGATTATCCTCATCAATAAAACTTGAATGATTAGAAATGAATCAATGGAGACTTGCCATGGAACATATGTTTTAAATTTAAAAACTATCAAGCCAGTTCGCAGTACATTTTATAATTTACAGATGAGTTTTATGTCATCATGCGAGTTTTCTGGAGGCATAATATCGGAACATCAACGATAATATTTAAACAAATAAGAAAAATGCATAATTTTATTGATCCCCAAGGAAAAATATATTTAAAAAATATGACAGGATATGGAATACTTTTATATATGAAACAGTTCAAAAAGATTATTGAGTATCTGATGATGATGATGAATTTTTTTAATCAAACTTCCACTCTTTGACAGTGTTTGTTTTAAAAGGCGATGATTTGAATTTTAATAAAACCTGAACATATGAAAGTGAATTTATACATTTTCTTTGTTCTTAAGAATTGACAACAAAAATAATAAACACTATTTATTTATTAATGTGTTTATTTACAATATTTATTATTTATTGGAATGGTTGGCAAAACAATGACTAATTATCAGTTGATTCAAACGTTTAAATAAGGATTCCTTATAGTTGGTTCACATATTTTAATAATTTAGTAAATGCTTAGAAATTTATGAATAAAAAATTATTTTCATATTTATTTCTTTATAAATTGGTAAATGATAAATATTGAATTGCATTAGTTTTAAATTGTATTCATTTTTAGAATGTTGTAAATATAAATTTATTCTTGCAATATAATAAGTAAATAGTGTTTAATATTTTTGTTGCTAATTCTAAAGAAAAAAAAAAACCAAAAAACTATAAATTCACTTTCATCACCTGTTTAGGTTTTATTCCAATTCTAATCATCACTTTTTAAAGAGTAAAAAGTGTGAAGGTAGTTAAAAAGCAGTATTCATAGGGAAAAAAACATCCTTTTGACACTCCATCTTATTGTGGACAAAAAGGTCCATGTTTGCCAAAACATTTATTAATTTTTGCCACTGTCAAACAAAGACAGCAGCTACATTTTTCAAGGATTAATTTGAAGAGTATAATAAAGCCAGCATGCAGGCATACCTGTAGCTCCTTGTCCATAAGATCTGGCAGGTCGTAATTCCCTTTCAGCTCTAGCAAACTTTGCAGCTGACACCATCTTCATGGATTGGGTGATTTTCTGGATGTTGCTAACAGATTTCAAACGGATACGAACTGAACAAAAAGAAAAGAGCATAAAAAATAAAATCAGGATTGGAAAAATGCTGGTGGCAGAAAATAAAAGCATTCATTCAAAATATTTAACATCATTTCAAAGCATCTTGACCAAGGAAGAGACTTTAAATAATCTAGTAATAGATTTTGTTTTATGCCTGTAAAATTATTGGTGAATATAGGGCATGAGCAGGAAGGGGATTGACTATTTTATGGCTTATCAACCCATTGTGGGTTATTTAAAGCCGAAATATTTCAAATTGAAAGATTAAATTTTTTGCAAGTGAATATTGCATCAACATTTGTTTTTGAGAACAATGATATTTCCAGATTCAAGTCCTACTTAAATAACCCATAGCCGAGAAGGAGTTGTATTCATATCTTTCCCAAGGGTATTTGCATGCAAGTAAATGTAACAAACCCAACTGAAATTGAACTTGACTCTTCAATTTCTCATTCCAAGCTATCCATCTGCACATGTGAATAGGAATTGATTTCAAATCCCTTTTTTCCAAACAAACACTTAAGAGCTAAAACAGCTATGTTCAAAACCAAACTTGAAAATGAAATTTATACTTATTTTGAGTTAATTTTAATTTTTTCTTGTAAAAAATATATATGTTCTGTTATAATAAATCCAAGCTCTCTGTGGATCAGTTTTAATATAAACTATTTACTAGGATTTATTGGATTATATATATATATATATATATATATATATATATATATATATATATATATATATATATATGTGTGTGTATTTGGACAGCAATTTTGTCTTTTTTTTATACAATTTTTAAAAACAATAAATATGATTTCTCACACATCCTAAGATCAGTAGATAAATCCCTTTTAAGTCCATTTAGTTATCTGAATTTCTTAGGAAATTCATCTCCAGTCTATCTTTGAGTAAACTTAAATGCCAGTGTTTCATGATTTGTCTCCAGCTTCTTTTGAATTGTCAAACATAAAATGTTGCAAATGATTTTAGATAATCAAAACAGTAGAATCTTTTGAAGATTTGACCACCCATCTAGCTTTTGGGCAGCCATTATCAACAGAGAGAAGTAGGAAATCAGAGAAGTAAGAAGGGGTCCAGCAGTCACTGAGACCATAATTATGTAGACTAGTGAGTGAGAAACTGCTCAGTGGCCAGAGAGTAAATGACCAGCAGCTAGTGAGGAAGGGGACCAGTGAGCAGTTAGGGAGATAGCAGTTCAGCCAAAAGAAAATATAGACAGGTAAGTGAGAATTCGTATTTTTGCTATTTCCCAAATAGAGAATCTTGAAAAGCATTTGTCGTTATTTTTTGTGAAAACAATTACGGCCAAGTGGCCAAATCTGTGCACATAGCTAACCAGGTATATAAGCATACGACTGACCTTGAATGTCATCAGGTTGTGTAGTGACAGATGAGCAGAGTACATCGTCACAATTGACAAGATCCTACAGTTACTTTCCTTGTTGAGTGCCAGGTCATGTAATACAGTAAATTAAATAACTGCAGTACCTTATCAGTTGTTTTCAATGAGATTTGTATAAAAGAGGGATTGCTGCTCAAACATACAATTACTAAATTACATGATCCAACAGTCAAGAATGAAAGTAACCACAGTACCTTGCCAGTTGTTTTTAACAAAGATTAATGCAAATATAAAATTTGTCAGTTGATTGAGGTTACCTCCAGTATCCTGACTCTAGAGTTTCATAGACTGACTTTCCAGCAATCACTCCGTCTACTCGTCAGGAGGTTCAAATAATAATAATAAAAAAATCCAACTTTTGACAAAAATCAATATTTGTCAAAAAAAAAAAAATGGTTAAATTAATGAAAAAGTGTTCAATAAAATTTTCAAACAAGAAAATGTAAAGCAATTGGACACAAAATATATAGAAAACCAACCTTCCTACTACCACGGTTTCTACCAATCAGGTATCGTCAATCAGTAAAACTTTTACTGATAAAATCCTTACTAACTGGTAGAAACCACAAGATCAGGAAAGTTGGTTTTCCAAATATTTGATGTCTTATATATGTATGTATATAACTATTGACAACGTAAAAGAACTGGCAAATATTATATGGAAAATAATGGCAAAAGCCAAGTACAGCACTTATACCAGAGTGAGAAATTAATTCTACAGGGAATGGGTGGTAATCAGTTAAACATGAGGAATAAATTAACAGACTTTTGTAGGCCTAAAAATAAATACTTAAAAAGTAGGTAGTGGATATCTGCCACCACGAAATTATACAAGTCGGATTCTCTATTTAATTTGCCTGAAAATTGTGCTACAGAACACATGAAACTGAGTAGTGGAATTTGATAACTATTTTAATATTATTGTATTATATTTGAGCTCTGCTAACTTAGGCACAAAGTAGTCCTCAGTTTATTTTATATTTTATTGTGTTTGTGTTTGTGTGTGTGTGTTCAACAAATGAAAGATCTTTCATTGAAATTAGATTTGATTACAGGTTTCACCATTCGTGGCTTCATCAGATCCAAAAATGAAAAGAAAGAAATGTGTGTGCTTGTATGCTTAAATAATAAACACAAACTCATTTCTTTCTTTTATTTTTGGATCTGATGAAACCTAGAAAGGTGAAACGTGTAATGAAATCTAATTTCAATGAAACATTTTTCATTTGTCAAATTTCTTGTGTGCATATATATATATATATATATATATATACACGATTGATATGAAATATTAGAACAAAGTAACTGTGATAAATATGTGAAGACCAGTTAGATGTTAAAATATATACTATTTTCTTACATTTTGTTCAGTGAGAACTTCATCAGAATAACAGCAAAAAAAAATAATTGTGCTACTTAAAAACATAAAGGACGTTTTTGAAAACAACACAAGAAATCAAAAATATTTACTAGTGAATTAATATCTGTGTGTGTATGTATGTATATATATATATATATATATATATATATTAAAATATTAAAATAAATGAATAAATGAGTTTGAAAAAAAAAAATCATCTCAAAAATAGATTAAAAGAATTTTTTTTTTTTATTTACAGTATTGAAATTTTTTTTTGGCCACTAGAAATAAAATTTTCAACTGATTAGGAGAGATTGATTTGTTTAACAGCACATCAACTCCTTATGGGTCATTTAATGCCAAAATTTGATTTTCTTGTGAGCTCTGAAGTAATAAAAAATATATTATTCTGCTTTCACAATTGAATAAATTGTAGATGATACTCAGCTTGTTTGTGTGGACATAATTACTAGAGGCAGTGATATGTGTTTTATGTTGTAGTGTTGTTGTTATATTTTGGAATGCAGTTCGAGTTAAGAAATTGTGGGAGATTATAGGACTTAATATCATGAAAATGTTCTTTCATGTTGGTTGTTTGATTTTGTTTAGTGGCATATCAAACTCCAATAGATATTCAATGGCGAAATGTAAATAATTTGAACAGTTTTATGCTTCAACTAATTATATTTTGAATGTAATTGTAGGTCTTCAACTACAGATAAAATGTATTGCTGATCATGATGCTTTAAAAACATATTGTTGCTAATTTCACTATAAATAGGTATTGTTGCTAATTTTTTTGTTTGCATAAAATGTATTGTTTGTATTTTTATACTTTCATAGTGTTTTGTTTAATGTTTCACATTTCACTATTTGTCTATAGTCGAGACCCTAACAGGTGCTACCACCCTGGTCAGGGTGGATCTGGGAATAAGAGCAATTAAAAGGTGATTCTACACTCTTCAAAACCTTTAATCACTCAATCAGAGGCCTTGCTGTTTGATGCAGTTGAGAGAGAGAGAGAGAGAGATTGAGGATAGATGCGTCAGGGTGGAGGTAATCATATGGTACACAAGTGAAACTTCAGGCAAATGTGCTTAAAGAAAGAAAATAAAGAAAAAGAAATGAATAAAAAAAAATAATTATAATACTTGTACTTGTCCCTCCCTTCATTAGTTCTCATAATCATTATGCCCTGCCAATACCTTATAAATAATGCACTATTCCATTTTGATCATGTGGAAAGACAAAAAGACATCGGATGCTACTTGTGGTTTCCGTGAAAAAAAGAAAAGGAAGACAAGTGAAATAGAAAAGTTGTCAATTTCAAATCTTTTCATTTGTACCTACTTAAAATAACAATCAACATTCATATTTATGATTATTATTGCAATATTTTGTTAAAGTTGTTAAGCTCAAATATTTAACAATGCAATAGGGGAATTTCTACATATGCTTTGTTGTAGAACTCTTCATGCTTATTCAATCATTAACAGAAGAATTAAGATTACTCAGAAATTTAAAATAGGAGAACCATGAGATCATGGGTTAAAACTAGTAAAAATAAATAAATAAATGAAAAAAAAAAAAAAAAAAAAAAGAACTATTGATGGCATCCTCATAGTAATGTAGATGGACATGTTGAATAAACAAAGGAAGGGTGTTACAGTCAATGGCCAAGGAAGAAGAGTTCAGAGAAGCACAATATGCTGTGAGTATTCAAAACAAAGTGTGGAAACTGAAGTTATTGAAACAAGCTCTTAGGAAAAAAGATATTTCTTGTAAGACTGAAGACAAGGATTTCTGTGCAGAGTTTGACAACAAGCAACCAACAGTTGTGGAACAGAGTAGGTTGATTTTGGAACAGTGGTATTACACTCAATTTGAAAGTTGGGGTAAGTCAATTTTAAGTAAAAACCTGTGGAAATGAGGTATCCCCATACATTTTTTAAAAAATAATCATCGGTAAAAGCTATGAATCTAATTTTTAGTGTTAGTATTTATCACATCGAACCCCGGCTTTTACACTGAGTGCAATGTTGATTTTCTAAAAAATAAAAAAAAAAATAAAAAAAATGAAAAGTGAAAAATCAATGTTCCCTACTGTAGAAGAGAGAGCCTCTATTGTTGAGGAATAAGATGTTATCAGCCTCTTTGCTTGAAAGGGAGCAAGAGTCAAATTTAAGAAAGTGGTAGAGAAGTTGATTGAAGAAGGTATGCTCAATGCTGGGTAATGTCACGACCTGTGGTAATAGTATTATCAATAAAGAATGTGCAGCCAGTGTTGGGCTTTTGAGTCACTACATGGCATGTCACTCAAAAGGAAGATATGCTAGCTGTATGCAAGAGTTGAAACAAATGACAAAGTCTCTGATAATTGTTCATTTGAAACTAGCCTGCCTACAACTTTGTGTGGTTGAGAAACAATTGAAAAATGACAATGAAAAGAACAGACTGTTGGAATAGATTTGGCAATTGAAGTGAGTTTTGTACCAAAAATCATGGTGCCATGGCTAAAACAAAAAAAAAAAAGTTAAAATCATTAATGTAGCCAAAATTGGATGCACTGTCAAAAGGAATTAATCTGGCTTTAAGGAGGTAGATTTTTTTGAAATCTGTCCAGATTGTGGGTAAAGTCACCCGACATCAGATGTGAATGTTGAGAAGGAAAGGTGATGTTCATTCCAAGAACATCTCGGTTGACATTCCAGTTTGTCATTTTCTGGATATTTCAAGGACTGTCAGCTTATCGAATGAGGAGAGATGGAAAGGGACGATAGGCAAAAAGATACTGAAACAAGAACTGTAACCTTACAACTGTCACAGAGAGAGCAATGTCTACTTCAAAGGACAAGTGACTAGGTGGTGCTGAAAATAGGATTAAATTGAGCTAGTTAATTATGGAGCAATGCAAATAGCTTTAAACTTTATCAAAGCAGAATCAATCAGCATAACTTTATGTGCTTAAATTACAATGGTAAATTCAAATGATATTACTTACTATCCTTTAAGGTAGCCATACCCCGTGTTTGCACACTAAAATGGAAAAAAGAAAAATAATGTTTTTAATACAAAGAAAAAAAATAATATTTGAGAATTTTTTTAAAGAAAAATATTTAAAATTAATACATTACAAAAAAAAAAAAAAAAAAAAAAATGTAAATGAAAAACTTCATTAAATTTTATTTATTTTTTTAGTTTCACAGGAAATAAAATAAATGTAAGAGAACTCAAAAATTGCAAGAAAACCCTTGCGTTTTTTTAAATCAATTCACCTCAAGTAAGGCAATAATGCCACTAAGATGAAAGGGTCTACGGAGAATGAGAGAATTAGAAGAGTATGGAATCAGAAACCCAATCCTAAACAGGAAACCAAAATAAAAACAAAACACAAGAAAATAACTTATTTTAAAGGCTTGCTTTGTAGTATTTTCATACAATTCGACTGATATTTTCATAGCACCAAAATACTCATTAATGTTACACAAATAAAATATTTAAAAAAAAACAACAACGAAAAGTAATAAAAATCTTCAATATCAACACAAATCGGTCATCAAAAATAATTTTTATTCAAATCTGATTTGTTGACGATAAGCAAAGATATGGGGTCATGACATGTGAAGGTCAGTTTTGGGTTTAAGTGGAGTTTTAAAGTAAGTACAACAAAATAATTGTAAAAAATGTATTTTTTTATGGGTGGGGAACAAAAATTCGATTACGAAAGACATTTTCTTACAAAAAAAAAAAAAAAAAATTACAATTATTTTTCTTCAAATGATTATATCATCAACATTATTGTTTTTTTAACCGACCTTTGTTTTGTTTTTTAAACCTTTTCCCATTTTAATTAGTTTTTTCACTATTTCTAACAGTAGAAACTTAATTAGATTTTAAAAAATGTTGTACCTAAAAATCTGTAATAATTTATATTTTATATAGTCTATTTTTATTTATACTATGTATGAAATTTTACCTGAAACTCAACCAAAAAAAAACTTTTAAGAACAAAGTTCGCTTTCTTTAAAAAAAGAAAAAAGGTGAGTGAATAAATTTTATGAAATAGAAATCATGACTCCTGTTTGCTTTTTTTCTTATTTTAAAAGTTGCCTTTTGCAAATACTTTTTCAAGCATTATTCCTAATACAAATTATGGTAAAAATCAAGTTACAATCAGAAAATAATTACAGACAAAATAATGAACTACTAAAAACTGAATAAGCACATGAGTGTGTATATTTACTTGTTAAAATTTTTGCATTTAAATTTCGATTTGTATGTCAACAACATACCTCATATCACCTGCTTTTTTTTTTTTTTTTAACTTTTGATAAAATGAAATATTTATATAAAAAAATTAAATTATTGCATAAAAAAATACAGATAAAAATGAAATTAAATTACCTAAAAATAAATCCTCTGCCAGGGAGTAAAAGACATGATCACTAGTGTTTGCTAAGTCAAAGTGTACACTAGTTATACAATTCAAAAAGAAAATAAGCGATGTTTATTTAATAATGAAATAACTTCTTTCAATGATTTCTTTCGACAAATATCATCATTTTCACTGCTATTTGTATTTTTTATTCATATAATCTCGAAGAAAGAAAACAGCTTTCTTAAATAAATAATTCTGATAAGTTTTATGCGGGCACTTAAATTAGATTTAAAATATATATGTGCCTTAGCTACAGTGCATGATTCGTTTTTAAATTTATCTACAGTGCATGTTCGTTTTTAAATTTACTATTTATATTTTAAGATTTTTTTTTTTATCCGATTTGATATTTGTTTTTTATTTTTTTGTTGCAACTGACTGAGTGTGTCCTTGAGGTAAGAAAATTAAGTGTAAAAAAATGAGATTATTAAAGTAAATTAGGACTTTTTGGTTTGAAGGAAATTAAAGGATAATTTTTATTCTTAAAAACTGAATAAACATTTCTACAAGAAGAAAAAGACGATTAAATTATGATGAACATTATTAAATGAAATAAATTCATATCTAGTTTTGAAAAAAAAAGGTACACTGCAACTACTACTTCATTCAACTATTCACCCAAGTTACATATAAACGGAAACTTTTAACAAATGACAAAAATAACAGCATAACCTTAAATTAAAATAAAAATTTGACACGTTGGATATGTCTAAAGATAGAAAAACGTTGGCTTGAATAAAAAAAAAAATCCTCATTTTGTTCTTTCTCATGTAGCTTTTCCAACCTGTTTTTTTTTTCAGAGTCACATTTACAAACCACGGATACCCAGATCGTAGAATATATCGAAAGAAAACGTTATCGGAAGATTGTAGGCTCAAAATTAATGTAATAAAATAACTTACCATTGTGGGGCAAAGATCTGGACAGTGCGACAAAACATGGCTCTAACCTTGGTTGTGGTCGATCTTGCTGAGTGCCAATGCCGGTTGTAGAGGTCGTCAGGGGGAGGTAACCACGACTTCACCGGAAGACGTATTTTCACTTCCGCTAGTTAGAGTTAAAAAAATAACTTAAATAAAAATAAAAAGACTTATTAATTAGGAAATTATTATTTGTCTATATCTTTAAGATAAGGTATTATGATTATTTACATTATTTGGACTGTTATCCTCATCTACATTGCTATATTCGCAATTGGCCCAGTGGATAAAGGCGTTGGTTAAATCCAGGTGACTAGACCCAAAGAGTTGTGAGTTCAATATCAGGTTACATTAGTGGTGAAACCAAACTTGGAGAGTTTAGCTAAAGGAAAGTCACGGAAGAGGCATGGCATGTGGAACTAGAACAATCTAGCCAGTGGACAAAATAAAGAGTTCAGTTTGAAACTCCTGTCGGAGTTAGCTTTAGTTCCTTAATCCTACAACAGGGGTCTCCCCAGGCTTCAGCCTTATACCACCTCGCAGATGTGATCTCTCACAGATACAGTGTTCCCCAAATTCCCTAAGAACGAGATATGTACGTATGAACACCCACCACAACATGCTAAGAACAATACACATATGTACAAACACTCACCACAACATGCTAAGAACAATACACATACATACAAACACTCACCACAACACACACACATAATATTCACCACACGTACTCTGTCCATGTACTTGTAACCTTAAACTTGTTGTTAATACATATATTTGTTTTCATATATTTATCAGTCTTGTTTGTTTTCTTTGGACTTAACGTAAGTCCTACTTTCTCATGTAGTTGGACCAGCTAGCAGGAAATTTTAACTCACATGTATTCTACAATACATACTCATCACCCAACAGTCCTCTACACTCCACTTACAGTCAAGACGTGAATATGGCAATGAAGATAACAGTCCAAATAATGTAAAAATTATTGATGACAAATTCTATATAATACTAGCAGTAGAGCCCGGCGTTGCCCGGGGATGTAACAGTAGGAGATAGATCAAGTATCGACCATCATAAAGACTGAAAAATAAAATTGACAAAGGTTATTGTTTAAGGTTGACGGACACGCATGTCTTAATTAGTTTTTTTTTTGTTTTTTTGTTTTTTTTTTACGAATTAGTCAAACCCAAACTCAAACAAAAACAATGTTTTCAATCGTTATGAGTCTATCAATTGAATAGAATTTTATTATAAACAATTGTCTTGTAAATGGAATTTTTAAAGCATTCTGAATGTAAAAATAAAGAAAAAAGTGTGCAAGACAATAAGAAACACTAGTAAAAAAAAAAAAGTGAAGTTTTGTTGAAATTGGTTGAAAAATGTAGGAAATCCGCTCACATATATAAGCGAACACACACACACACACACACACACACACACACACACACAAACAACCTGGGTTTTATAATAAGTATAACTCGATATGAGTTGTTCCCCTTTCATTCTGGTGACAGAATCGTGCTTTATCGTGTTTTCAAATTGATTTCGTGCAAAAACAATTGCGTTTTTCCAATTTTTGGCACTGTCAGAACCACCGCAAGGTAATTTTACATTGTCCTGTGAAGTTTTGTTGAAATAGGTTGAAAAATGTAGGAAATCCTATCCAATATATAAACGTACACACACACACACACACACACACACACACACACAATCTGCGTTTTATAATAAGTAAGATATTGTTATATAGAATATAATATTATAGATATATTGAATATATCCATAATGTTAGTCAAGAATTTCCGCTTTTTCCTTAAGAATTATTTTTTTGAATGTCATGTCCCTTCAAGACATAGTGGAGACAAATATTGGAGGGGCGGAATTTAGAATTTAAGTGTAAGTTATCAAATGCCACCAACCTTGTAAAAAATACTACAATTAGTAAAGTTTTTGAGGGAGCCAAGGAATGTTGCTAGAGCTCTACATAGACAACCATGGCTAACTAAAGATTTATTTGGGAATTGTCATGATTTATTGAAGTGGGTCCTGTTGTGTTCTCAGAGTAGTCTTTCTCCTAAACTGACTGCCAGCCAAGGTTAGAGACCCCAGTTTGCTTTACTTAGACTCATACCTGGGAGAGAAGAGATAGCTTCATGCCTATCCCATGGGCATTAGTGTGAAATGAATGCAACAGATTAGGCCAAAATTTGAACTCATCTTGCTGGTTGCACATTTGATACAAATAACCATTATGCTACCTCCATGTTCTAATAATATTTACTATTTCTTTTTTAACTTGGAAAATATTGAAAAAAATGTTATCTTAGAAAAAAATTAATTTCCAAATACTAAATTTCAAATATATTAAACCACAATTTTCAGTCTTTATATTATACATGGAATAAGACAGTTGAATGAATATTGGATTAAATTTTCAGTTTTTGTCATTTGCTTATTCAATATTTCCTGTTTAGTTTTCTGGGCTGAGGAGTTATTGTTTAATGTTCTTATCTTTGTTGCTATGATCATAATGTTTCAGTTGTTTTGCTTTCTAGACTTCCCCGGGTGTATGCTAATCCAGGTAACCTTCATGGAATTTCAACCTGAACCATTTATTTAATCACTGGATTATCCCCATATATCTTCTTCAATCTTGGCAAGAAGTCATTAGAGAGTTCTGTTAGGCATCTATAAAAAAACAAAAAAAACAAGACACTTTTGATTTTTTTCTCTCTTTCTCATTTTTCCTCCCAGCATGCTAGAGTGATAATTTCAACAGGACCCTATTTCTGAGCATGGGTGTAAATGCTGCTTATGTTGAAAAGATTAATGTGGCTGCATGTTGAAGAGCATTTAACATTTATACATTATAGAATCAAGGAAAAACAATGAAAAACCAATTTTTGTTTCAACGATAAAATATATATTAAAATCAACAAATACAAAACAATGTATACTGGTTTTTGTTCTTGTTTGGTAATAATTTGTCAAACACAGACTGTATTTTTACCTTTGTCCTCTGCATAAATTCATCCTTTTCCACTTCTCTTCTTATCTCTCACAAAGTCACAGGTAGTTCCTTTACTGCCTTGTATAACTCTTTACTGTTTTCCTCTATGGTAGCAAATGGCACGTTTCACTTCTTTTTAAAAACTGGTTGGACGTTTTCTTTTAATTCAATTCTGACCTTAAATTTGTTGCATCGTCCCAACCCGCTCGAAAATACCTCAGGAAATTGGTTATATAATTCTTCCTTTAGCTTTATAGCATCTGATGGTTCAACCTCTAACTTTTTGCAAAAAGAGCTGATAGGTAGTTCCCAAACGTTGAACTTTTGCATCCAGTCGATACCTACTAGATTTTCAGTATCTTTCATGACGTATTTCTGGTTTTTTTTTTTTGTTTTACTGTAAAATTTAACATTCATGATTATTTCTCCTTCAAATTTTATTTGCTTGCCTGTAACCGACTTGGCAATTTTTTGTGTATGTAACATGGTAGGTCTGTTGAGTTTTCTCCATGTCTGTAGGTTGATTATCATGAGGTCGGAACCCGAATCCAGTTGCAATTTTATCTTTTTATTTAAAATTTCCAGTTCCACATATTTCCTTATGTTGGTGTTGTCTTTGTTATGCATCCTAGTAGCTCTTATTCTACTAGTATCTTTTCTATTCCTACATTGGGATGCCTTGTATTTTTTTCCACACTCAAGACAGTTTTTTATATCTAAAGCGGCAATCCTTGTTCCAATGTAATCCTCCACATCAATAACATGCTGATAAAAAAATCTCTTATTTGTTTTCGATTTTCGTCATAATTTGTCCTGTATGTTGTATTTTTTTCTTATTATAGAATTTTTGTTTTCTTTCCGGGAGGGTGAGAATCTTTTTTCATTATTATAGAATTTTTTTTTTTCTTTCAGGGAGGGTGAAGAACGTAGAACTTTTGTTTAACTTACGTATATGAGAGAAACAGCTGACTCCTCAATGTCCTTCGCGTCTTTCTTTATACTTAGACATTTCTGGCAATCCTCCGATAATTGTTGTAGTGTTAGGCCAGGTTCATTTTGTAATTTTGAAAGCATTCTTTTGCACATTTCACTATCTTTTGTTGAAACTAACCCTTGAACAAAGATGAGACTCTTGAAATTGTCCGGGATTAATTCCGCTAATTTGAAGTCATTGCAATGTTTATTTACGATTGCTGCAAACGTGGAATAATCCTCATTATCACCCTTTACCAGGTTAAGGCATTTCCACCTCCTGTGGAAGAGTGATGTTTTTGGACTAAAGAGTTCTTTAAGACATGTCACTGCTTCATCAAATGTTAATTCGTTTGTCTTTTTTGGCAAGATATAATCCACTAACTTTGTATATTCTTCAGTACCTAATTTTCTAAGCAATAGACGTAGCTTTTTTGCTTCTGTCCAGCTTTGACAGTCGATGTTAAAGATGTCTTCATGTCTTCTGAAGTAATCTTCGAAATTTTTATCCTCATCTCGAGAATATTTGAAAATCTCTATGGTATTCCACACTGCATCTTGCGAAAAAGTTGCCTCTTTTTCAATATTTAATTGCTTGTTACCCGCTACTTTCAATATTAGTTCTATTTGTCTTTCTTGATTTTCTTTCTGCGTTTGTAGTAATTGCTTTTGCCATTTTTCTTCCATTCTTTCTTGTAGTTGTAATTGTTGATCATTCTGGTATTTTACCAGTTCTACCAAGATATTTTTAAAATCTTCCATGATAACTAAATTTTACATATTTTTAATCCTTATAACACTTTGTCGTCAATTTGTTGTGGACGACGAGGGAAAAAAATTTTGTTGTTTGTTCTTCCTGTGTGAGTTCAAATCGCTCGTCGTCAATTTGTTGTGGATGAGGAGGGAAAAATTTTTTTTTTTGTTTTTTTTTCCCGTGTGAGTTCGAATCTTTGTCGCCAATTTGTTGTGGACGATGAGGGAAAATTTTTTGTTGTCTGTTCTTCATGTGTGAGTTTGAATCTTCGTTGCCAATTTGTT